TTAGCCAGAAGTATCTACAACGATATATCTTCAAAGATGGAACAGCATTATATCAAGTATATCTTTTACCCAAATGGTAAGCATAGCAGGTCAAAAATAGCCGCCTGCTAGCAAGAAATATATACTACAATACATATCCAAGAAAGGAGCAAAAATATATGGATCTATCTAAACCCAAATGGTGAAAGAGAGCACCCACAACCATATCTTGCAAGAGAGGAATCGAGACATCCTTGGAACAATTTGTGTTCAAGGAATGAAACACCGTTTACAAGCCATAAAAACACGGATAAAGATTGGGTTGCGTCAATCAAGTGTTCAATTGTAAGTCTACCAAATGTCAGCACTCCATAATTTATCCAAAAGTGAAAAATTGCCTTCCTCGTGAATTCAAGATGGACTCCCAAAGATACAAACGACAACTACAATGCTCAAATTAAATATCATTGAACCCATAACCAAATGGGAAGGTATATATGGCTCAGCAGCCTCAGCTTCAGGTGACCTTCACATTTTGAAGGAGGCGTGCTGCCAAAGAGCCGTATCTTCGTGTTTCCCATTCATTCAAATGCTTCTTGTTTTCTAAACCTAAGTCTTCTTTTCTTTCCTTGATTCCCTCTTCATCACCATGAGAATAATCCTCCATATCCTCAGCAATCTCGATATTCTCATCATCTCCATGTTTAATCTCTGCAACTCCACAATTACAAACTTGTTGAGGGAGTGTCATCTTCAATCTCATTACGAAGAGTTGGATGCTCGAATGCTGATACTTGGGATCCATCTATGCAGAAGGTGAGTTATTACATGATCAGTTGCCATACGACAAAGTTACCAAATATACTTGGGATCCATCTATGCAGCAGGTGAGTTATTACATGATCAGTTGCCAGGCGACAAAGTTACCAAACAATTCTCACCTATTCATATGTAGTAATTGGGACATAAACTAAGAAAAAATATAGAAAAGACGAAAAGGAACAAAAAAGAAACTCACCTTTGATTTAGGTATGCTTTTAACTTCGTAGTTGGTCTTCCACATGTTCATCATTTTCTCATGAACATTAGTGGACCGAAGCTCATATCCCAACTGAGTAAAAATGCAGCAATGGACAAAGTCACCCAGTAAATATGGTGCCAACACATCATTTATGAAAATAAATTATATACACGAGCTGGAACTAGCTTACCAAAATAGTAGTTTTTGGTCCAGATAATGCATTTAAGGTTGCCACTAGTGGATCCAGAAGATGCTCTGCATAAACCTTGAGATACGAAAAAGCAATAAATTTCTCCATATTCTTATAGGAACTAAATGCAACTCTGAACATGCTAATGAATCCATCACACAGAAACACTACCAGTACATATAAAATGAAAGCAGGGCTGTGTGACATGTAGGAAGAGTTCTACAGTATTCACTGCCAAAACCAAGCCGACTTTCCAAGTTGACCAGTAAACTCGAAAACTAGTTGAGTTTTACAAACTATTTTGGAAAAGAAAAAAGTGTCAATTATGGGAATCAACCCAGCTCAAGAACACAGAATAATAGAAAAGAAAAACCATAGGTACATTCCCATTTTTTCATTTATAAAACTTGTTTACTAAACAAGTCAAGTTGCTCAATCAATTTTTGTTACTTATAGGTGAGACTTTATTTACTGAATTCATATGTGCACCCGAGCTTATTAGACCAATAAACCTGATATGCTTAAAATTGCAGAAGATCACCAAAGAGCATCAGTTAGGGCAATAATTTTCTGAGACAATAAAGCTTTGCATACAGCATACAAGACATAAAAAGGCACAAGATTTGAAAAGGATTAAAGTGCACAATGAGACATTTTAATATTCTCAATTGTTTTCTCAAAAAATGCAATGATTAGAAACGAAAAAATACATGGAGTGTCCAATGAATTGTATAAGATTTATAAGCAAAAACTCGGCTTAAGATTTGACCTAGTCTTGGGCCGTGTCAACTATGGAGCACTCTACAAAACACTACATGAGTTGACTAAGTCTTTCAGATAAAAGAAAAAGAAAAAGAAGAACCACAAGACTCACTAAGTAGCTGAGGTTTGACAAGTAAACTGGCTGATCTTCCAAACACCGGGATTGTGGAACCTCTTGCTAAAAAGAGGCAATGAGAACGGTAAAATGTCTTAATGTTTACGCTCCGATCTGCACCGATATCTGGGATGAGATCTGCTCAAATCTTAGCAAAAAACTGAGTTATTTTTTAAAAGGTAGAGAAAGTGAGGTCGTTTGAATTATGGACTCAGAAACAACCCAAATCTATACAGATCTGGTATTTTTCTGAATCCACTGGCAACGTCAGCTCCAAATCTGTATTTTGACCTAAAAACGCTTCTAAATTTAATCAAAACTAATAATAATTTAATTTTCAAAAATAAATAAAATAAAACAGAAAATTAAATGAATAGAAACAAATTAAACTAAGCAAAAAAAAGTGATACTTATCTCTATGGACCCGAAACCCGGAGTTTCGGGGTTAGATCAGGCCGCTCTTCCGATTTGCACCACCATCTCCTTTTTTTCGATGTCTTTGCTTGATGGAATTGGTAGATCTAAGGTTCTTTGACCTAGATCTAGGGGTTCTAAGGTAGGGGGAAAAGCTGAGAATTTTAGGTAGGATCTACCTAGGCTTTTCTTAGGATTGGAGGAGAATTTCTTTAGTTTTCTAAGGGTTTTGGGATCTCCAGAGGTTGAATATGAATTCTGGAATTTCCTCTAATTTTTTTGGGATTTTTCCTAATTTTTTAGGATTGGAGGAGAATTCTTTAACCTGTCAACTGCACTGACTCAAAGTTAACAGTGCCAGTTTGATATCTTATGGATCAAAAGCATCCATCGGTCTACCGCCTACCCAAAGGGTATTGATCATTCAAAAGAATGATCCCTAAGAGGCTAAAAAATTAGAAAAAATTCCCAGAACTCCCAAAAAATCAGAGATTATTATTGACAAAATACCGTTGATACCTATTACGAGACTCTCCAGTGAATTTGCTCGTCATACCACTAATGCTCCAGTGGATATGAAAAATAACTCCTATTATTCTATTTCACACTTTTCAATACAAAGACCATCTACCCTCAAAGATTATGATTGACAAAATACCGCTGATTGTTACATCTTCTGAAACCTAGAGATCCGAAGATTTGTTAATGCATTCCAAAAAACTGCATACACTAAACTTGTCAAAAGGATAAAACATTTCACCCAAGGTACTCCTGATGGAAGACACTACATCCTTCTAGAATGACGAGCCTGGCAAAGATGTCACGGCACATTCAAGATGAGATGAACAGGCTAGAATCCACAAACAATCATGCAAGACCATGTGTCATTGTCAAAGCAAGACATAAGGACCACTATGCATACTACATCCTTACTACAGGACACGATCAAGAGCCACTAATCGAAGTGTCTGACGACTATAAATAGCTCTATCAAACACATCAAAACATAAAAGAGAAAAGATGAGAGATATATTAAGAAATACAATCATTGAGAGATAACAGGCACACCAAGATATTTATGCGTGTTTACCATTGTATTTATATGAACAAATTCAGACAAAAGCAGGCATAGCAACAAGACTTACTTGTTAGTTCCTTCCTTCTATATTTCTCTTCTTGATGAATTCATTTATGACTGATTAAACAAAAATATTTCACATATCCATTGTATGAGGCAATGAATGTAATTAACAAGGCATCTACGGATACCTTGGAACTGTTTGATTCTCAGAAATAAAATAAAGTTGTCACAGATATACCTTGAAAAAGTGATTTATGAAGTTATTCTGCGTATGTTGTGTGTTCTTTACACATTTTCAACTTAAAATCACCCCAACACTCTGGCGACTCCGCAGGGGATCAATTCACCTCTCTTCTATTCAATCACCTCTCGAACGAGTCGATGGCCAATGAATACGTCCACTTCTTTCACGGTAGGAACAATTTGTGTTCCCATACCAAACAATGCCATTTGCCCGACTTCAAATCATACGGCCACATGCTTAAAAACTATTGTTAGCCAGCCATGGAGTTCCCATCCAAGACCTATTCAGCAACAGAGGGATGTCTCATCTTGAGGATTTTATTGTGGTAAGTGCCCCATGTGATGACCCTTACCATGGTCAGACGGTCAAGATTATCGTATTTGGTGATAACTGTCAGTTGCTAGTTCTTCCCTCGATTATATAGTAGGAAAGAAAGCAAATTTTCTCAAACCAGCCAAAGCAAGGGGTATTTGTCAAACCCGCTCATCTGCATCAGTTCTGAAACAATCTTTGACTTTATCTCTTAGTCCTTTGGAATCTCAGAAGGGTTTCAATAGGCACTTCCCTCGCCTAGGGTGTGAAAAGGGAACTGCCTAATAAAAATCCTCTAGGCGAGGTATACAGGTATCAAGTGCTACACCTTTTCAACCTCCTCAGGTGCGATGTTTGTATCAACCACTGAAGAAACTTTGGCCTACCCCAGAGTGGGATGACTACAGCTTCCAAGATATAGATAAGCATAAAGGGGGTATTGAACACATATCAAAGCCCTCAACGAGCGAGTAGCTGGGCCGATAATATGAAGTACATACAAAGGAGGGCACCAAAGCCAATATCTCCTAAATATATTTATGTAAGGACTACCCCAAAGCAGGAGGACTATAGGTTCCAAGCTCTACATAAGCATAAAGGGAGCATTGGACGTATATAAAGCCCTCAACAAGTGATTAGATTGACTAATAACTATGTAGCTACTAAGCCCCTTAATAACAACAAAAAGGAATGGCTGCCTCAGACCTAGGCCCTACACAAGGATCCAGGGGGTAGGACTTTAATAGCCTCCCCCAACCTTTCGACTGGATGGGATCTGAGAGTTTGTCACTGGGCTAACCCTGATAAATTATCTTCTATGCGTTTTGTGTGCTTTTCCATGTTCTAGGGCAGTTGACGCATCAAAACCCCTTTTATTAACATTGCCCAAATTGAGGAGGATCTGTCAAAGAGGGTTGTGGGTTGGCGAATCTCCTCAAAGCTTATAAGTTGCATATATGGAATTTGTAGCGATCCTGGTGAGTGCAAATATGTGTCATTGAAATAAAAGAATCTGTTGCACCTGGTAGACCAGCCCAAGGAAGAGGCAAAGCTCAATGAAGGGATGATCATACTTCTCCCACTCCGGTTGAAGAGAAAGCTTCTCTCTCCTCAGCATATGAGGAGGAAGGAGGAGTGGTCTCCCGATCGGATGATGACCGGGGAGACCCACAACAGATCAACCCATTGTTTGAAGAGAATGATGAGCCAATTAGGCTCGAAATCCCATAGTTTATCCCAATATCAGGAAGCAAAGGGAAAGAAGCACTCCATGAGTTCCCCCAATACACCTCCACGGCCCGAGTTAATCGACCATGGCTACAGCGTTAATAGTCGTCGTGGGGCATTATGTGTCACATGTACCACCATACAAGATTCAAAGGGTATTGGCCAAGAAGGAAGCCCATACCCAAGCATTGCTCTCAAGTAGGGACGTTGACATTGTGGGTTTGAAAGATAAGGTAAATAACCTGCTTTGCCACACGACCCCTCTAATGAGCAATCATGTACCACAGGATTCTGCACTACCTAACCCCTTTTTGGACACAATACAACAGCCTACTGTTGCCCATTCCTCTAATCAGCCTTCTGCTAAGGCTTCCGAAGTCACACAAGCTGACATCCAAAACATATTGTGGAATGATTGAAGAAATTACAAATACTGGGGGTAAAACCCTATGAGGCATATCAAAAACCATGTTCGATATACATCAATAAAGTACCCTTCCCAAAAAAAGACTAACCTCCATCACTTAAAAAATTTAATGGAACTGGTTCTCTTTAAGAGAACATCGCTCACTTTTTTGGCATATAGTGGTAACACCATCAGTGACGAGAGGCTTACGCTACAGCAATTTGTGAGCTTCCTCACCGAAGCAGCCTTTACCTAGTATTTCAAGCTCCAGCAGTTTGCTTGGAACAGATACAGGCAAACCTTGCCGTCAATCATTTCAAATGAAAGATAGGCAAATGAATACGCAACATGTAGGATACACATCTCTGGCATTGGAAAGATGATTATCATACGATATATAGCATGTAGAAAGTAGTCCTACTAGCTATAGTTGAACACTTAATCATTCTTTGGTTAGGTCATGCAATGAACATTGCATGAAAACATCATGCCACAATACATTTCAAAACATTAGTAAGCCACAATAAAGTTCTACTTTTGATTTACATGAGATATTAATGTAAAGTGCAACACTCTAATGGTGCTATGTTTACATCAGAAGGCCTTACAACAAAAGCATTTACTTGAACTACCGAATTCTCTCCCCCCCAGGCTAGAATTTTATCAAATTGTTTGGATTATGTTATGTATCATGCCAATATATATATATATATATATATATATATATATGGAAAAACTTGGGTGAACCCACTAGCTCACAGGAAAAAATGAGCCCAACGGTCGAGATTGAATCTGGGCCAATCTAAAGATCACGGATGTCCGAAGTGTTTGAATTTTAACTTTTTTTTCTATAAATCCAAATCACTTGAAACTTTAGGCGTATGTTCTTCTCATCAAGCCGCACCTAATAAAAATTTTAAAAAAAATAATTCACAAAAAAATTGACCAAAATAACCGCGAAACTTTTTGGGGGTATTTTGGTCAATTTATTTCATGTAAAATAATTTTTTTGATATTTCTCAAAGATTCACATATTTTTGATGTACACAAGTTCCAAATTTCGAGTAATATGGATTTGTATAAAAAAAATTAAAATTCAAACACTAGTGGACATCTGTGATCGTCAGATCGGCCCAGATTGAATCTAGGCCGTTGGACTCATATTTTCCTGTCAACTAGTGGGCTAACCTCAGATTCTTTGTATATATATATATATATATATACAAAGAATCTGAGGTTAGCCCACTAG